AAAAAGAGGATAGACCGAGTTGCTGTCGTGATGAAGAAATGAGTGGTGCAGCACCAGCAGTTGAACTGTTTGTTTTGCTCATTCAAAAGTCGATCGTAACTGAAATGTACTTGACACCTTTTTGCTTAAATTATGGGAGGGAAATATAAAAAGACCATAGAGAAAAAAGAAGATGATAGACCGAGTTGCTGAGTTGCTGTTGTGGTGAAGAAATGAGTGGTGCAGCACCAGCTCTGTTGTGATGAAGAAATGTGAAGAACGACTATCTTGTCAAACTTCTGAACCATTTGAATCTCTGAATTTTTGAAGGGGACAGTGGGGCCCGGCTTGTTTTACCTTTATTTACAGCAGGAGACTAGAGCCTAGCGCTGGTCTAGTTGTGTACTGAGTAACATGTGGATGAGTAACATGTGGAACCCGGGCCGAGGAATTAAACGACCGTTGAATCCTTTCGGATTACGGCCGTGTCCACAAACTGCCTTGTTGTGTTCTTTTTGCCTTTTTGAACTCGCAACCTGTTGCGGCTGCACTTGTTTCAACAACGTGAAGCAGAAAAACGTTTCCCTACCATTGGAGCATTGCTTTCAAATTATTGTGTAGCGAAGTGGAGCTCAACAGATCTAACTGACCCTGCACTTGTAGGTCCTCTTCAAGACTTAGTGCTGACGTTGAGTGCCTGAACCACACATCGATGAGTATATAACGCTGCAACGTGTGTCTCTCTTCCGTGCTTCATGAGGAGGTTTTAGATTTTGCTTTGGACCTTATGTTCTGCAATGAACCTTAAGCCACCACCCATGCACTGGCATGCCAGCCTTGCAGAAGACTGACACTTCAAGTTGAGCCTATTGGGCGATAACAACGGTTACTGTATAAGAGATACTACTAGAAGCCATGGGTGAAGACTTTGAACAAGTGAATCTGCAGTTGACATCCGGCTGATGTCGTGACACGCAGTCGAAATTCAGTTTTGGAATCATTGAGCAGCGGTTATTGTCGCTTGGCCATGATATTAATTCAGTCCAAAGACTCCAATTGAAACTACTTTTTTATTCTTACATATCAGCTTTATTTGTTGAAGCAAATTCATTTCTTGTTCATCAAACACTCGAAACAGTTTCTACTCTGAAACCGAAATGGAACTTGCCTCCAATTTTCCTTTTCTCCTTCCAGCTCATGTTTCAAACCATCTCAAGAGATGAAGTCATTTCTCCATGATCACAATTATGTCATGTGATGGGGAAAGGATGACTGGAGAGTGTTCAAGTTATTCTCTTAGCACTTCCTTCGTTCGTGCCTCTGTCAATCCTCAGAAGCAATGATATGATATTACAACCGGCGTTTCTTAGGCGGACGACATCCGTTATGTGGCGTTGGAGTTACATCGCTAATCTTGGTTATAATAAGACCTCCTAATTGTAAACCACATAAGGCCGAAGGCTTTCCATAACCTAAACCTTCTGATAGTACTGGCAGATGATGTGTAAAATTACTTTGCTATGCTCTCACTTCTCTTCAGCATGAACACTGTGACAGTGACAATCTTTCAGCGATGAGATATCAGGGCAGGGGTTGTTCCCAACAGACGACACTTTGAAGTTCGAAGTTTATGGTCTGTCTCGAAGAGAATGTTGAAGTTCCACTGCTGTATGGGGGTCTCCAGCAGCAGCAAGTCGCTCAAAAACGTTTAGTACGCACTAATACTCAGCGCCACGGTGCCTTTTCGGACTAATCCAGTCCGAAAAAGCTGACGATAGCCCTGAATGGCGCGTGGCTGAATTACAGTGAGATGGGAACAGTTACTGCCAGTCAATGGTCGATGGCAGTGTGATATTTGCGAACAGCGCGAACGCCGCTAAGCACATGGTTGGGTAGAGCGTATAGATGGAATTGTCCGGTGCGTTGGTGCTGACGAGTCGGTGTTAAGCTCCTTTTGGTTAGCGTCCATCACCACTGCAGTGACTGCACACCAAGCTTGTCTTTCAGTCAAGGGTGGGCAAAGGCATGTCAGCGATCTCACAGACGTTCATCGTGACACATCCCCACATTCATTAATGATTAAACACATTATCTTCATTTTTTTTATTTTTCTTCTCCTTTTTATAGTCTTCTTATTCTTTTTTTTCTTTTTCTTTTTTTTTCTGTCTTCTTATTCTTAAGAAGACACAGTCTGACAAAGAAAAAAGCAAAAGAAAAAGAAAGAGACAAAGAAAGGTATTCAGATTCTTTGTATATAATTACAAGCTTCCAGGAATTGGGCCTGCCCTCCCTCACAAACAGTATGTGCTCCACACAGGCTAACTCTAACTTTCTCAACCTTTTCTCTAAGATCCACTTTCTTACCCTTTTTGCTAACTGTCACCCCCCCGCTCACCGGACCAACCTTTTCGCTAAATCCGTTCCAAAGTTAAATGACAGGCACTGCCAGGCTGATCCTGAATGTAAACATACATCCATGGCAACTGGAAAAATAAAATTTTTCATGAACTTCAAGGAGGGCGCTCGGGGAATTGACCTATCAACAACAAGTGACAACAACCCTATGAATGCACTGAGCATCTGACCCTCCACCAGGATTACTGATGGGGTAAGACTATGCCTTCAGCATATCCACTACAGTCACCTGTAAAGTAGTTTCCCCAACCTGAAATCAACGGAAAGCTTCGAGACGCGATAGTCAAAGGAGATCTGTCAATATAGACCAACCAAGGAAGAGGTACTGCCCTCGTCATTACCACGCATGTGAGCCTTTGTCCGGTCATGAACATAATCACACGAGGGTATCACCGTATCATCTGGCATGGCGTAGAGCTCCGGAGGGAGAACCCCTGCCTCAGCGCAACACCCGCAGCCATGAGAGTAGCTGACGAAATCCAGCGAGCGCGACCTCAGCAGCCATCAGAGGAAGGCAGCGAATTTGGGCGAGGAAGCACTGCCGAGGTACAGATGATCTGCGAAGCTGAGGGAGCGCTGTGTGTCTGCGCAATATTGGTCGTGCAACTGACACACTGCACCTTCAAGTTGGGGAAACCTTGAACATGGACAGACAGGCAGGGACGTTGGCAGTCATGCTCAGAACCAAGACCGATTTTGATGCTACATTCGTGCTAAGAATATATCATTCTGGTTTCACAAAGGTTCTGGCCAGTGGCTTGGGCTTTACCCAAGAGGTGTAAGCAGTGATGTGTGGCTTCATAGCATGCTCGCAAGCTGCCTTGGAATCAGGTCATCTACGTGACCCCCACAGCCACGGATCCCACGGCCGTGCGCCGAAAATCGGGGCGCATGCATCCCCTGCGCATGGCATCCCCCGCCATAATGAACTAAAGAAAAAAAAAAAAAAGTGAAATTTCAGGGGGTTCTTTTTCAGGTTGGGGAAAGAAAAAAAAAAACCATTTAAAAAAATATATATATATATATTTTCTGTGTGTTTGTCTCTCTCTCTCTCTCTCTCTCTCTCTCTCTCTCTACCTACCTACCACACACAAACACCAATACAAAAACAAACAAACAAACAAGTCTGGCAGTGTATATTTCCATGTTCTAGCTGTAGATTCGTTAGATTTTGCTCATCCTATCCATGGAAGTTAGACGAGGCCAGCCGCAAGGTTGGAGACTTTCTCTCTCTCTCTCTCTCTCTCTCTCTCTCTCACACACACACACACACACACACACACACACACACACACACACAAGAAACGACAGTGTATATTTCCATGTTCTACCGGTAGATTCATTCGATTTTGCTCATCCTATCCATGGAAGTACCATGAGGCCAGCTGCAAGGTTGGAGACTAACCTGTTCTTTCTCTCCATCTCTCCATCTCTCCATCTCTCCCTCTCTCTCTCTCTCTCTCTCTCTCTCTCTCTCACACACACACACACACACACACAGAGTCTGTGTGTGTGTGTGTGTGTGTGTGTGTGTGTCTGGCCACCACCGCCAAATTGCCCGAAGGAGGAGGAGAAGAAAAAAAGGAGAAAAAGGTGAAGGGGGAAAAAAACAACAGCAAGGAAGAAGAAGAAGAAAAAAAAGAAGAAAACAAAACAGCAAAAAAAGAAGAAGAAAACAAAAACAGCGAAGAAGAAAAAGAAGAACAAAAAAAAAAACAGCAAAGAAGAAGGTTCTACCTGTGCAAAATTTTTTGGACGACTCTTACTCCATAATGTCCATATCATTCAAGAAAAAAATGGGAAAATTCAAAATTTTTAAAAAACGATTACTGCTTTTCTTTTCTTTATTTTTATTTTTCTTTTCCTTTTTAACCGATTTTCGTTTTTCATTGTTTAAAATTTATAAATGAAGTCAAATAAAAAAAATAAAATTATGGGGTTGCAAAACCCTACAACCCCATATTTTTAGTTTTTTTCTTCACGTATTTTTGACCCTAAAAAAAATATCCAAAAAAAGGGGCCGCTTTCCCCCCCAAAAAACACATCAGAACTGCCACACACACACTGCAAAATAGTCTACGACATACACTCAGCTTGAGTCATGATGCACAATGTCATCACATTAATCAAGTCAAATATTGTATACCCTCTCAATAATTTAAAACTGAGATCAAGCCAGACAGAGGGGAGGGAAGGCGCATAGAGAGACGAGGGACAGACAAGACCAACATAAAGCCTGATAAAGAAAGCCTGGCATCTCAGGGGCATACATGCACACGTACCACACTCTGTGTGTTCTGTGTGTGTGTGTGTGTGTGTGTGTGTGTGTGTGTGTGTGTGTGTGTGTGTGTGTGTGTGTGTGTGTGTGTGTGTGTTCTCATCTTCGCTGTACACTCGAAAAAAGCATGACTGCGCCACACTGTTTCGTCGGACTTTCAACGACTCATCCAGAGCTGTGTTTGTGTTTGTGTTTGTGTGTATGTGTATATGTGTGTGTGTGTGTGTGTGTGTGTGTGTGTGTGTGTGTGAGAGAGAGAGAGAGAGAGAGAGAGAACTTGAACATATTGTCACCAACACCACCCGCTCAAAACTGGCGGTCAGGTGAACATTTGCATTTACAAAGCGTCAGTGCCTCGTTGGTTGGTCGTATAAAACGTGCACTCATTTCAAGTCATTTACGGATGCCTAAGGAGCAAACAGTGAAGGAATTCCTCAAAAGCTTAAAAGTGTCCAGGCGTCCGCAAGAACATCTTGATCAGGATGCAGACCACGCCTGTAGAGAACTAGTGATCCGAATTGGCGGAAATACGCTCAAGAGATTCCGGAAAATCATCGGTCGCGAGCAAAATTCCTGGGACACGCATGTTTGATCCGAATTTCTCGTTCCCTCCCTCTCTAATGGTTATATACAACTCAACCCTCGTATCAATATGCATGCCTCCGCAAGTTGTTTTCCCCTTAGGACTTTCATACCTTTCTTGCCAGTTCGTTTTTCACCTCTCTCTCTCTCTCTCTCTCTCTCTCTCTCTCTCTCGGCGTGTGTCTATGCCCATACTTCAACGATCAACTACCAATCTCTGGCGTTTTACATCTCTCTCTCTCTCTCTCTCTCTCTCTCTCTCTCTCTCTCTCTCTCTCTCTCTCTCTCTCTCGCTCGCTCGCTCTCGCTCTGTCGCTCGCTCGTGCGCGTGCGGGGGTGGGGGCGCTTCCTACCTGGTTCTGCCTCTCTCACACCAGCACGCACCCTCGCACACACAAACACCCACAAACACAGTCCAGATAAGGGTGGGACAAGATGTGACGACCTGCATATTTGGCCCTCACTGATGTCTAGTACATACACTTGACCGAAACAAGATTTGAAAACTGAAACGTTAAAATTGAATCGAATTGAATGTAATTGAATTCAACGCCCAAAGAAGCTAAAATGAAATTTTCGACGAAAAGTATGATCCGTTGGCTGTACAGCTAGCTCTATGGAAAAGAACCACCATTAAGAACGGCCTTCAAACTGCGTAGTACTCACTATCACGATGTCCCTCCCATGCGGAGTGAGGGTGGCTACTTCAACTCATCCCAAAACGAATATACACCGGAAATCGAACAGGACAAAACAAAAAAACTGTAATCGCCAACAACAAAGAGAGCTGCTTCACAGCAAATCTCGGTCCTAACTGGGACGCAACTTCACGCAAGCACTACCTAGAGGCTAGAGCCTAGAGACCGACGACGCGAGCACAGCGTCAAGAATCCAACAAACGAAAAAAGGAAAGGTGTTGCAAAGTCGCGAAGAAGCAACGACCATGGCAGTTTTTTGAAAGCCAGAGTGAGGCCAGCGTACCAGAGAAGACAAGAGCACACTTTTGCCGCCAAGGAAGCTTCGACATGAAGAGCGCTTTCGACCTTTTCTCTACTTGTATTACAAATCAGAGTCTCCGTAGAAGAAGAAGAAAAAAATGCTTGAGAGACATCACGTCCTTGCACATCGCAATTGCGTTCCTAAAGTCAAAGACCCCTCTCACTGTGAAAAGTCGCAAGCAAACCCCCAAATCTATCGGGTGCTGCAACTCCGAGTCCGAGGAAGACAGCCATGTCTCCATCAACCCCTGAGGGACAGGAGGGAACCTAGACAGCGGGCGATTGCAAATCACCGCTCAGAACAGACTTCGATTCGGGTGAAGATAAACAAGACATCAGAGAAAACGCCAAGGAGGACGCCACGGCAAGACAGACAGCAAAGCTGCTAACAAGCGGAACGCTATGGACGTGTGCAGACAGACGGATACCGTGACACTGTAAAACTGTCACATAGACCGCACCGAAGTTAAGTGCCCCTACGAAGGTCACTACCTCCCAGGAGGAGTTCGTACTCCGACGCCATTACTCGTAGGTGGCAAAGCTTGTGCACCTGGTAGCTGGTCTCGCAGCAAGCCAGAGCATACTCGTAGGTGGCAAAGCTTGTGCACCTGGTAGTTGGTCTCGCAGCAAGCCAGAGCAAACTGCAGAGCTACAAGCATTCGAGAGGCTGCCGTCTTCTGAGAAAGCTTAACGTCAACGGATTTCGCGTTCATATTTTTTTGAACGAAGGTCACGACCTTTCTCACACCAACACACTCACCCTCCCCATCCCCACCCCCGCTATCCAGGCAGGGCCTACGAAACTCGACTACATCATGATGTACAAATGATTATGTACAGTAAACAGAGTTGAGTCAGTTGTCTATACAAACGAAGAGGCAGGACAGCCCGAGCCCCTTTGAAGCTCTCGGCGCTAGCGAGCGTCTGCCAGTTTGCTCGGTAAAGTGAATCACCCTACGCAGATTATGTTTCTTGTACCTTGGAGAGCACAGCAGTCAGCCCTACGCAATTATGATGGTTACCCTTTTAAAGCCTTTTTCGACCAGCTGATACAGGACTCTAGGAAGCCAGCAAAGCTGTCAAAACAAGAATCCCCTGCGCAAGGGGAAGGCGTTATCGGGCAAGCGAATCAGAACTGCCAAGCCATCCATGGATGTCAGGCGTGCTTGCTGCTACTACGCGCGGTAGAATGAGGTGCTATGTGGTGGTACTATGTTGTACTATGTGACACTATGTGAGGCGGAAAGACAAGGAGAGCTCTGTTCCATCACTGACCTCGGCCGGGGGACTGATCGAACGAGGACTGTCAAGACGGCGGCTGCCATCGCTGATTCTCGCTCTTTCTCCTGAAGAGAAGATTGGCACGCAGTACTTGGGTCGCTTCCGTTCGCTTTTTTGATGGGCATTCCGCAAGTCGACTGGATCACCACGTACTAGCTTGTTTTCCTCGTCGTCATCCCGATTGCTCTCGTGCACTTGCTCTTCCTCCTCGACCTCCTCTTTCTCCGTCCTTCGTCTCTTGGTCGCTTCGACACGGCCATGATTCCCGCCTAGCAAATGCAGCGGCCTTCTACCATCACCCCCATCCGTTGGCAGGTGCTGAGGCTCAACAGCTCCAGCGAATCTCATCTGTTCCCTCTGTTCCGACCTGATCCGTAAGCACCTCGAGCAGGCCACGTCTGCACAAAGCAGGACGTGTCGCAAAGCCGGATCGCCGCAGAGACGGTCCCCGCAGTTGGAATCTCGGCAGGCTCTGATGTGGATTCGAAGAGCTCGCATTCTCCTGCAATCGCCTTCGAAAAGTGGGCAATCCTCTGCGAGAAGCAAATGCATTATGCATTCAATTTGGCCAAAGCCGCCAAACAATTCCACACGCCGGAAAAGAGCAAACAAGACGGAAACAGAAACCCGTTAGAAGTGAAATCTCTCTGAGGGAGGGGGACTTGATGCAAAGCCATTATGCGGCATACCGATGGGTGAAGGAAGAAGGGCCAGTCCAATTCGTCATCGAACCTGGATTTGGCATTCAAGCACATTGTCAAACAAAGTACTGCCAAACAATCGGGCAAACTTTCCTTTTCTTTTATTGGGGGGTGGGGAGGGGGGGGGGGGAAGGGGGAGAACATTTTATCCAAGCCAGATCACAGTGAGAAGTCTCCATTGAAAACCATAAATAAGCAGCGACGACAAAGCCAAAATGAACGACTGCGGTTGATCTCGGTCATAATGCCGTAAGCGAGCCGATAGTCTATGGACAGCTAACAAAGCCACTAAAACGTCAGTCTTTAACTCCTAAACCACCTCCCGCTCCTCCTGGTCAGCCCTCCACCGTCTACACTCAAAACTAACCCCCATCTTTCCGCCGCTTCCATCCCCCGCCCAGCTTCCCGCCGCTTCCTTCCCCCGCCCAGCTTCCCGCCGCTTCCGGGTCCCCACTTTGCGTTTCCCGAATTCGTGAAGCCTTAGAATTGCATAATAATTGCCAAAGAGCTTCGTGCCGTCCTCTCTCGTATGCTTCGATTACGCAGAGCTAGATACAGTCATGTGTCCTCAAGACTGCTGAGATTCTCTGTCTTTAGCAAGGCCGTACTCCTGAGGCCGGAATGTGCCAGAGCTGCCTGTCTTCGGTGACTGGACGCGTGGCACTTCACTACTCTCTGAGACGGTCTCCCAGAAACCACGATCAGCGGCATCTGCCTCCAATTCGATACGGGGATCTAAGGTTGCCTAGCTCCGTCGAGGCCGAGGTTACTTTAGAATCTGCCCATAACAATGATAACAGGTAGCCAAGAAAGTGCGAGTGCGGATATGCCCTCGGCTGGGCAGGTGATCTGCACCGCGCCACACTCCTCGTCGTCGATCTGGAGTAGTTAGATGCGATTGATGATGTGAAGGTGTTGCTCAACTGCAATAGTGAAAAAGTGCAAGCTCAGTGAAAGTGCAACGCAAGTTCTGTGCGAGTTCTATGAGTGGAAGAGAATCATACTTATTTTTCCCTTTCCCTTTTTTGTTTAATTTTTTTTTCACCATTTCTCGATCTATGCGTGTCATCCTTGCGCAGGGGCCACCATGCTCCTCTCTCTCTCTCTCCCCGCATCCGCCAATTCTAACGGATGTCCCGAAGAGAATCATACTTGAGAAATTTCAAAGGAAGGAATTAGACAACGCACCTTGTTCGCAAAGAAGAGAGTGAGCGAAGAGACGGCACCATTCTCGAGCGCCTTTGGTCTTGTTCGGCGCTTCTGTCCTCGGTGGCTGGGTCGCGGGGTCCGGCATCGAGTTACTTGTCCGTTTCTCTTCTCTCTCCCCCTCTTGCAGACTCTTTCTTTCCAGTGGCACATCCGATGGCCTCGGAGGGAGCCCTCTAGGCATTCCGACTGTCACAACCGTCTTCTGCGACCACCGAGATGGTAGAGACTGCGATCTAGCGGCGAGAGCCACAGGAGCCGCGCTCTCCTCCGAGTCCCCCGTCTCTTCCACGCATGACGAGTATCCCTCCTCTCCTGACCGCATCGTTGCCCTCCATCGCTCTGACTTCCGGTGACTTGTCTTCCTGGGAGGCGAACACGTAGTCGACGATGACATGGTTCTCCTTGCGTCGTCCTCCGACGACAAGGTCCCCTCACGCTTTCCCGTGCCTTCTACCTTCGAAAGCGAAACCCGCAGCGCCGCCTCGGAAGCGTATGGGACGACTACCCCTGACGCCCGGTGGCGACAGGTGGTGGAATTGAACGGCTGTCCGCTCTGATGACCGATATTGGAGATAGCGACGACAGTTGTTACGAGCGGCGTTTGCGCTTCCTTCCGCCGCCTAGCGACTGTTCGTTTCCGCGAAACGCACAAAGGGGGGAGGAAGAGAGACGGATGTCGTCTCTTGCCCCCCAAGTGGCAGACCCCCTCCCCCTCTAGCACACCGCTGTCACGACCAGCGCACCTATCCTTGGCAACCATGCAGACAAGGCGACGGCGGCTCTTGTCCTTCCGCGATCCCTCGTCCTTGCGAATGCCGAGGCCGCTCTCTGTTGTCTCCCGCTGCTGGTGGCGCGCCGGAGCCGTCGGAAAAGGGGCGCTGTCAAGCGCTCCCGCATGTGTTTGCGGCGGATGGGCGCCATGACGCCTAGGAGCCGGGCCGATTCCCTTCTTATATTCCGAGCCGGGGGCGGGTCGACCAGGACTCCGCTCCTCTCGCCGCCTCTGATGAGGATGCTTGTGCTGCAGAGGCGAATGGCAACCCTCCTCCGCGTCATCGGGGGAAGACAACCTCGGACACTTGGGTGAGCGATCAACAACCTCGTCCCCCTCCTCCCTTGTCTGGTCTCGAATCTTTCCGCCTTCCCGCCCCTCCTCCTCCCCAGCACCCGGCCCGCCGCTATAGGCCCCCCCTTCCCCTTCCGTTCCGCCTTCTTCGCTCCTGCGAATGGCGCTGCGCTGCCGTCCATCATGATTCTCCCCTGTCGACTTGTCTGTCTTCCACGCCCCTTGTGCTTCGCGGGCAGCGCGACTACCCGACGCGGTTGTCGTCAGCGTCGATCTCGATGACACCGTCGATGCCACGGATCCCCCCTTTCCTTCATCCTCTCCTAGACCAGCTCCGGCTCCGCATGCAGCGCCCGAGCTGCCTCGACCGCTCGATCCATCGACAGGAGCGGCATGCGGCAACACACCAATGCTCAGCGACACTGAAACTCCTTCCGCCGCCTCAACAGGCTCCGCGAGACAAGTATCCGCCGCACGATCTGGGCGACCCTGCGTCCAGGAAGATTCGCCAACGGCCACTTGAAAGCTGAACTCCTCCGGAGCGCAAGACGATTGACGGCGGAGATGATGAGAATCATCATCATCGCGTCCGACGCGTCGCGAGTAAGAAAAGTCGATGCCGGCTGTCTCAGGAGAACCGAATTCGCCGTGGCCAAAAACATCGGCGGCCAATGCCAATTTTTCGCCCGTGCGCGCCTTCACGTTCCCGCCGCCAAGCACCTTCTTCCATTGCGCCACATTCCGCGGATCTTTGCGCGGCGAGCGCGCGCGGTGGTCGTAACCGCCTACGCCTCTGGACGACTCCTGGCTACCGGTAGCTGTTGCAGACGATGGAGTGGTAGTGGTGGCACCAGCACCAGCACGATCACCGGCTCCTCCTACTCCAGCTGCGGCTCTTGCTTCTTCTTCTTCTTCTTCTTCTTCTTCTTCTTCTTCTGCTCCTGCTGCTGCTGTTGCTGTTGCTGTTGCTGCTGCTGCTATCGCCGCCTCATCTTCCTCCTCGATCAAGGGCCGCGCATCAGAGCCAATCGAGGAGAGCTGGCGGTTACCTGAAGAAGCCCTCACCTGAGAAGCTACTACGACATCAAAAGGGTGCCATCGACTGATCGTTGCTGAGAACGGAGAACAAGTGTCCGGCGACGGATGCGTGCTGCGATCCATGCCGGGGAAGCCGCCAGCTTCCGCGCCTCGAAAGGGGCACCCTCGTGCAGTCGACGGCCGTGGCGAGCCTTCACCGCCGCCCTCAACGACATTGACCGCTGGGGAGAGCGTCAATGCCTTGGGGGGGGGTAGACCTTTCCCCGCGTGCTGCTGCGCTCGGAGAGAAAGGGACTTTCGTCGCGCGGTTGACGCCAAGCCCGCCGCCACCGTCGTCATCTCTTCCCCCTCCTGCAGGAGCCTCCTCTCCCCACGCGCGGGCGACGTATCTCTCGCCTCTACCATCGCTTTTGCTCGTTTTCTTGTCGTCAGCCGCGATCGCTTGCGCGTCTCAGCTGCCATTGCGAAGGGATCGACATGTTCCTCTCCTCCTCCTGCCGCTGCTGTTCCGGCCGACGCACCTGTTCCAGGCCCGACGGGCCAGGCACGTTCCTCTCCTCCCCCTGCCGCTGCTGCTCCCGCCGACGCACCTCTTTCAGGCCCGAAGGCACAGACACGTTTCTCTCCTCCTGCCTCTGCCCTTCCAGGCGACGGCAACGACGCAGATCTCCCTTGCCACTCCTGCTGCGGCCGTTGATAGTACCCACACGGACCAGAGGGAGGAGGGAATCCTCCTCCTCCGCCTCCTCCGACGTGGGGAGGGAATCCTCCTCCTCCTCCTCCTCCTCCTCGGACATGTAATGCAGTGACCGAACGCGCGGGAGCAGCGGTCATCAGAGGCACAGCGCCACGGCCTACGGGAGACAGCGACGCTTGAGCAGTACCGCAGTCACTGGGGTAGCATACGGGCACGGTGGTGTACACTAGTTCTCGCTGATCCTGCGGCAGATACACTCCCACTCCCACGGGAGTAGAGCCCATTTGGTGATGAAAGGCTGACGACGGACATACCATGGAAGACATCCCTCCGACTTGGCCTTGAGGTGCAGCAGCCACTCCGCTTGGAGTCATCTGCTGGCACTGGGAAGAGCTGTTCAACGTCTCCCAACGACGAAGATACGGGTCGATCACCGACGGCACGTGAAGCGCCGCCCATTGCTGCCGACCAGTCTGTCCGCGCAACGTAGAGGGTGGCAGAGATGGTCGCACCCACGCTGGCCTCGCTTCCAGCTGCGCCTTCGGCGGCTGACAACACAGCGCTAACGCCGCTGTTCACACATGACATTGTGTCACAAGGCCAGAACGCAATCAGACAGGTTACCCACGATTATAAGTCAGTGCTAAACGACTCAAAAATCAGAAATTCTCGATCAATCACAATATTCGTCGTCAGTTCAAGAGGACCTGATCGGAAAATTTCTCAATTACTACGTAGTATCATATCAAATTCTGCTACCATAACACCACGACCAGTAATCGGGATCTTTGCACACACGATTCTCATCGTCCCTTAGCGACTTAATACTGTAAGAAAAATCCCATGCAATTAGTATCATCGATCAACAGGTTTGGCAGCCATCCAATAGCAGTATTTAATTTCCAGTACGATGACTACTGTAATACAGTGATTATCAGCTGTGCTTCCCAAAAAGGAAGTAACTGAGATACACACGATGTTCGTCAGTGCTTAGCGACTAAACAGGCAATAACACACTCTTCAACCAATTATCATCAAGACAAGATCGCCTGCCACAAGCAGCAGTACCGATTTTCTAGTTCTAGTAAGAAAAACAATGCACCCTCCAGCAGATCATATATATATATACACTTTTTTGCGAGTGAATTCGGCTCAGATGTAATGCCGAGAAACTCCACATTCCAGATCATAACAACTGAAAGCTGTAGGCAGCCGCTCCGGCATTGAATGAACATTTGGAGACAGCGCCCCTTCGTGATACTTCAATCAAGACCGCAGTGCAGCGGAACAGAGTCAGTTTCGATCTGTTCAATGCACATTTGGAGACAGCGCCCCTTCGTGTTTCACAAGTGCAGACACCGTAGGAAATCAAACAAGTTAAATCTTCAATTGTGCAGAGACTCGGACGGAATCCACAGTCATGAAGGAAATGGGAAAGAAACGAAGTTCATATTCTCAAAAAAAAAAAAAAAGAATTCCGCAGCAGACGACCATCCACAGGCTGGGATACGTGGTAAGGAGAAACTACGACACGTGGCAAGGAGAATCCGCGACACGTGGCAAAGGCAAACTACGACGTGGCAAGGAGAAGCCGCGACACGTGGCAAAGGCAAACTACGACACGTGGCAAGGAGAAGCTGCGACACGTGGCAAGGAAAAGCCGCGACACACGTGGCAAGGAGAAGCCGCGACACGTGGCAGGGAGAGGCTGTGACAGGTCACAGGGAGGGGCTCCGAAAGGTCGCAGAGACAGAGCAGTGAGCACCAATTACAGACATTCACATACGTACTACAAGTAGACTGCAGTATACTTCTCTCACGTTCGCACGTCTGAAAAAAATTCAATTGCAAAGATGCCGCCCCGCCCAAGCGAGAGGGTAGTGCAGGAACTTTCCTCCTCCCCCCCCCCCCCCCCCCCCAAACAAACAAAAAAAAAAAAAAAAAGTGCAGGGACTGCAAAAGAAAGAAATTTCGAAGAATCTCAGAGAGCTGGGACCCGCCGGGTCGCTCTGGTCTGCGAGGAAGATAGAAGATACGGCCTGTCATAAACCTGGTTTGTCATGGGAGACTGGTAGACCAGCGCGATCCGAGCCAAGTGTGAAGAAACTAGAGGTACACACATCATGCTTGGGCTATAAATAGATCTGCAGTTGATCATGCTCATGACAAGAATAGTCACGACTGCTGCTAAGTCGAGGACTGGGCCGAGGAAGTGAAACTAGAATATGACAGTCGACAGGGCTCGGGACATACACTCGCACTCTTCTCATGGCGCATTATTATGATTAAAAGCGAAGAAGCTCTGGACGCGTTATTAGGCAGGGACCGTCACCGCCTTACAGAGAAAAGATCCGTGCGGGTTTAGTACCCCGACGGGCAAATCACTCATTCATTAAAACTTACACGAACAGAATTCAATTAATTCACACCTCAATAACTCAATAAGAGGTTTCACTTCACAAAACCAACAGTACAGCAAACCTTCATATCCATCCCAGAAGAGTGTGATGTTCCTCTCCCGGTCCGGCCGTCTAAGGTCAAACCAGCAACTTCATTAATAGACTGTGTGGCATTTCCTCTCTCTCTCTCTCTCTCTGTGTGTGTGTGTGTGTGTGTGTGTGTGTCTGTGTGTGTGTGTGTGTGTGTGTGTGTGTGTGTGTGTGTGTGTGTGCGCCTGTGTTTTCGTTGCATCTCTCTTCCTCTCTCTCACGCGCCTGTGTTTTCGTTGCCTCTCTCTCTCTCTCTCTCTCTCGCTCGCTCGCTCGCTCTCTCTCTCTCACGCGCCTGTGTTTTCGTTGCCTCTCTCTCTCTCTCCCTCTCTCTCTGTCTCTGTGTGTGCGTGTGTGTGTGTGTGTGTGTGTGTGTGTGTGTGTGTGTGTGTGTGTGTGTGTGCGCCTAAGTTTTCGTTGCTCTTACCTTCGACGCAGGGCGGCAGCTTCTCGGCTCCCTCTTGTACCTCCTCCGTGCCGTCGATCCCGATAACCATTTCCAATGCATCGAAGAGCCGCTTGGGTACGGTGCATGGGTCCAGGTACTCTGCTTGCGCTCTGGCATCGCTGTACAGAATCTCTTCAACTCGCTCAACCACCCTGTAGACATGCTCTCGGAAGGCTGTGAGACACATACATACATTTCACAGGACAGTCAGAGCCAACGGACAGACGGACAGAAGATAAAAACCGACAACGTAGCAAGAGCCAGCCAGATCGACATGCTCTGGGAAAAGCTGTGGAACGCATGCATACATTCAAGGACAGCTAGAGCCAACGAGCAGAAAGGAAAAATACACAGAGTGCCAAGAGCCTGCACCATCGCCGTCACGGTGATGTCAAAGCTATGACAGGCCATAAACCACCCTGCCTGCTTCACTCTCCAGCGATAGACACCATTAGAATTGACACGTCGTTTCCGAATCGATGATTACTGTCCTGCCTTAACCGTTTTGAGCTTTGATATTTGAGGCCTTGGCCTCCGTTAACCGCGAGGTTTTTTTTTCGTCGTCCTTCTCTCACAACGGAGACAAAATTAGACCTTTTCCAAAAAAAAAAAAAAAAAAAAAAAAAAAACGTTTTTTTTTTTTTTTTTTTTTTTTTTTTTTTTTTTTTTTTTTTTTTTTTTTTTACTTTTTTTCCTTTTTTTTTTTAAATAAAAAGGGCAACAGGCTTGAGATATCATCTTTGAACTGACTGGCCGCAGGTAAATTCAGCGTTAATTTTCTTACTCATCTGGAATTCGAGCTCATGTATGTATTTCAACAGTTCATGGGTGTACCAACTGAGCTAGGCTACCGGTAGTAGGTAGATTACTAAATTGGACCATTTCTCGACCTATGCGTTTCATCCTCGAAAGAGCAGGAGCCCTGCTAATCGTGTTTTTTTTTTTTTTCAGAAGACACTTCCACCAGTGCTAGCCCTGCTAATCGGCATTCTCTGTATCGTTCCAAGTTTAAGGGATGTCCGAAACGACACAAGGGTCTATTATGCATCCCTTGGAGAAAGCATTATCTGGGCTGGCTGGTTGAACATTTTTATTTTTTTTCATGGATTAAAAACAATAATGATGACAAAAGATAAACAGCAAAATAAAAAAAAAACAGCCGGTGGGTGAGTCCCACCTAAAGAGCAGAAAAAGGCTGTCAGTACAGCTGACACTACTTCCTAAGCCATTGGGCCTCGCTCCACTACTCTCGAGACATGCACAAAGGACAAAAATCATGGCCGTGTATCTTTCCATGTTCTGGCGGAAGATTCATTCTCGTTTTGCACGTTCCGAGAGTAGGTGGAGCGACGCCTATTGAAGGGTGTTTTACACTGCCTTTAGAGCATATTCCCAGTTGGATTTGTTTAACTGACTTTGGCTCTCACTTCAGTGAAATAAAGCCTCGCTCCACTACACAACACTCTCCATGCATCTGGACAAATATGCGGACCAGGTACGTTCAGAACCTTAGATTTGTATTGACGTACCTGATCCAGAAAGCGTCCAAGTGCATGTAGAGTGTTGTGTAGTGGAGCAAGGCCCATACATACAGTCGATGCCCGCAGAAGGAAGGCTCTTTAAGCCTCAGCTCCCCGATGACAAAACAGTGAGCGTGCCCTCGTAAGAAAGTAACACGAGCGTTTTCACTGTCTGCCAGTATCTGGGCGTAATTTTGCGGTCAGATTCAGTTAGGAAATGCTCGACGTGTGAGAATGCCCTGAATCTGCCGCTGACGGAGGGACCGAGATGCGCGCACTTACAAGACTCGCATCTCGGTCCCTCCGTCAGCGGCAGATTCAGGGCATTCTCACACGTCGAGCATTTCCTAAATGAATCTGACCGCAAAATTACGCCCAGATCTGGATGCTTCTGAATCTACTCACGTCCAGAGGTCAGTCCAAAATATCCCAGTGCCAAAAAAAAAAAAAACAGTGTCCCCGTGTGCGTATTGCCCTCAGCCACATTGTTTCTGCTGTCCGTGTGGCCTCAGTTCAGGGTTTTGTCTCTGCTCTTGCTTGTTTTGACCCCTCTCGGTGGGGGAGAGAGAAGGGCCCTCGCTGCATTACTCTCCACATGCACAAAAGACAAAATATGGCGGTGTATCTTTCCAGGTTCTACCGGAAGATTCAGTCTCACTTCGCACATTCGAAGAGTAGCGCAACGAGGTCCACTAATGACCATGCTGTTTCTTGTTGTATCGTTCGGTGCAATCTCTTCTGCGTGACACATCGCAAGAGCGACTTGCCCACTGCTATTTACTATTCATTAACTCGAGAGTATCTGAGTATGCGCCTGAATTACACTGAGCAAAGCAACTCGCTCCGTGGTTGTAAGTATTCCTTAACTCGAGAGTGTCTGAGTCCGCGCCTGCATTACACTGAGCAAGAGCAACTCGCACTGTGCTTTTAACTATTCCTTAACTCACACCCTTACACTGACACTGAGCAAGAGCAACTCGCACTGTGCTTTTAACTATTCACATTAACTCACACCCTTACACTGACACTGAGCAAGAGAAACTCGCACTCTGCTTTTAACCATTTCACATTAACTCAGCGTGTGCGCCTGCATGACTGTCAGACTCTTGATTTACTGTGGACACTGGACTCGGATTTACTGTGGACTCGGATTTACTGTGGACTCGGAATTACTGTGGACTCGGAGACTGGCAACAGTCGTTGTCCACTGCGGCACAGCCGTACGACTTTGAAGGACGTTGAGAAGAAGATTGATTAACTAGCAAGTAGCTCGCCCCCTGCGCATTTAGTGATGACGGACGCGTAAATCGAGAAGCGGTCTAATCATCTTTAGAGAAAAATAAGAAGGAAAGAAGGACACACTGGCCTCTGATTCGAAGTCGACAGGAAACACATGGAGTGAAGATAACTCTGGATTTACTTGGGGGCGGTTAGCGAAGAGTTGATATCTCGAAAACAGAAAAGAGCGATCATCTCTCCGGTCTCGAATTGTGTCTCTTCAAAAAAAAAAAAAAAAAATTGTGCTTGTTTGTTCTGTATCGATAAGGACCATATGTTCGTCTGGTGGTCTTTTTCTTTCTTTTTTATTTATTGTGGGCTCGTCAGCTCTTGCCAGGGTCTTGCCTTGGCTGGCCACTGGTTTTTTTTTTTTTCTTTGGGGGGCGGGGGGGTCACTCCTGCATCTGGCAGGTGTGGCAAGTTAGGGGTGCAGTACCAATCAAACGTTTAGCTTAACTCTCGTTGGCTGGACACTCCTGCATCTCGTGTTGCTTTTTTTTTTTTTTTTTTTTTTTTTTCATCTCGGTTTATAGTCCCGGCATTGTTCCCGAACGGACGAATTGACATGCACGTGAGACCAAAAAGAGAAGGCAAAAAGAGACCAATTTCGAAAGAAGAATTCCATCTGCCATTTCTTCCATTTCTTCTATCTCTTCAAGGACTTCTTTTTCTTCTCCCCCAACAGACACGACTCCCATAAGAAGAACGGAGGACTGGATCGGCTGGCTTTCCGTCACTCGGATGTTTGATCAGGTGGTGGTTTAATCGATGGTTCTTTTTCTTCGATCAAAACCCATTGAAATTGAAAAATCGGGTTTCGAGGATTGGGTTGGCCACAGTAATCACAGCGGGGGGGAAAAAGGAGGGCTGCTCCGCTTTCAAGCCTTCGTTCGCTACCCATGCCACAACCTGCAGGTCCTGCACATGCCCTCTCTCTCTCTCTCTCGCAAATTGCGCATACATGTCTCCCTCTGTGTGTGTGTGTGTGTGTGTAGCTGCACATTTCTCGCAAATTGCACATTATACATGTCTCTCTGTCTGTGTGTGTGTGTGTGTATAACTGCACATTTCTCACAAATTGCTCATACATCTCTCTCTCTCTCTCTGTGTGTGTGTGTGTGTGTGTGTGTGTGTGTGTGTGTGTGTATAACTGCACATTTCTCGCAAATTGCACATACATGCTCTCTCTCTCTCTCTCTCTCTCTCTCTCTCTCTCTCTCTCTCTCTCATTGCGACCACCAAGCCTCTGGCTTCGACGCCCCAACATGCTCGCAGTCAGTCTCAATGCACACATATCCCCGGCCGAGATCCCACCTTACCCAGCCACCGACGATAGCGCCCCAGCATGAGATGAAGTTACCGTCTTTCCGCTAATCGCTTGCACGATCATAAAAAATGACCGTCTTTCCCAGTTGCACTCTAGGCACCGCGATAAACAATGGCCGCGCGTTCTACTCATTCCCACGTTCAATTGGAATCTATTAGATGCAACCTCTTCGCCCTTGCCCAGTTCCGTCATTCACAGTTCGCACCATGCTTATCTACGTCCACAGTTCGCTTTCGTACTCTTGGAGAGAACAGATCAAGATTTTGATTCTTGCACGGGCCAACTGCCATTACAGCTGTATGGCCAAACTGCCTTCTGTTCGTAGGAAGGAATCATTCAAACTAAGACTCACACCCTACTGACACACTACTGTTAGCCATGGGTTAATACTGACGCGGCTGAGTCAATCGACTCACACACTACCCACACACTCTTACACTCCAAACTACAACTCCAAGGATGGGCATCATGCCCCAATGACATCTGGCTCCTTCTGAGCGTTTGTTTGAATCGTTACTTCCCACGAATAGAACGCACGGCAATTACAGCTATGATGAGCTATCTTATGTCTTCCGTAGGCCACTTCCAAAATAGTTCAACAATCTTTCGTTCCCCCGAATAAAACGCCCGGCAAATTACAAGTCCTATTCAGAGGAAAACGGTGTCAGCTTGGAGGCGCACTCTCCCCCTCTCCCCCCCCCCCCCAATTGGAAAACAAAGTGGATGAAAATGTGCATACTTAGAATTAGGAAGCGGAACCTTGATTATTATCATTGATAACCCTAATCCAATCGGACTGGTTCATCATTGCCCTAACACTCCACTTGGCTCTGCTCACAGTTCGATAGAAACTGCGATCTTCCGAATTTTTTTTTTTTGGGGGGGGGAGAGGCGGGGTGTGTGTTGGGGGTACATTCCGGATACGGTCTGGACGCAGCTGCCGATGCGGATGGCATCGTCGCACACACATCGTCGCAGTCAGTAATCAATTACCCGAAATTTTCGAAGAAAAATACGTGCGATAGAAATGTTTGAGAGTGTCCATCTTCCCCGATGTCGGAAATTGCGCCCGCAACTCTCATAATAATATATACCTTGTCGTACAGATACCGTACAGACAGGCAGCGGCCTCGCTCGCTTTCCGTACAGATAACGTAGCGTTCGCTTTCCATACATACAGATAACGTATCGTTCGCTTTCCGTACAGATACCATACAGACACACCTGCAAGACATTATTTCCTTTCCAGAATATCTCTCTTTCTTTGTTTTGTCCTCGTCTGTCTTTCCTCCTTTTTTTTTGTTTTTTTTGTTTTTTTTTAAATATTACTATTCCTTTCTTCTTGATCATCTGCGAGGTTGTGAAACTCTTCGCTAACCTTTTTTTCCCATTTCTTTCTTTTTTTATTATTATTATATTATTATTATACAACTGTCAGAGACTAATGAGCAATGGGGAAAAAAATAATAATAGGAAGAAATGACAGAGGCGATTAGTTAAATTCATTCAGATTCCAACCGTAGCCTCTCCAGTGTCTCCCCTCATCCGGCTTCATGTTTACATTTTTCTCGGTTTTTTTTTTTCCCAAAAATTTACGCTCCCTTCGCATTTTCGCATTTTTGCAGTTGCCGTCACTTAACCTCCAGGTGATCCACCAGCAAACCCGCAAAATGCAATTCTGGTTTTTTTTGGTAATCAAATCATACGCTTTAGCCATAATCACAATTTGGACATTTGGCGCAAAATGCAGCCGTAATTGTGACCAGATTCACTCCGCCCGCAATCAAATCATCGAGTATTGTATGCCCTTAGTCATAAACAAATCATCTCATAAAAAATATATATATTGCTGTTCCGTAATCCATAATAATTGATCAAACATGTTATGCTGCATGATTTGGTATTGATCACCAAATTATGACACGCAAATTAAATTACATTACTCAACGCCTGGTGAGTAAATGACTGTTATTTTCTTTCCTTTCATTTTCTTTTTAAAAAAATATATTTTTTCTTCTTTATTCTTTCTTCTTCTTTCTTTTTTTCTTTTCTCTTTTTTTTTTTCGTTTCTTCTTCTTTCTTTTATTCATACACGATTGTATTTTCTTAACATTTTCCATTCTTCGTCTTTCTTTTTCTTTTTTCTTCTTTGTTTTTGTTTCTTTTTCTTTCGTCTCATTCTTACACATTTCTATATCCTCTTCTTTCCCTTCTACATGGGGAGTTTCTCGATTAGTGCGCGTCATTTCTTTTTTTCTTTTTCCCCTCTTTTTATTTCTTTTCAGCCGTAATGCAGCCATCGTAATCTTCTTTCTATCCTTGCGCTCCCAACTTCTAAATAATGTCCGATTCTTGGGGCCTCGCCACACCACTCTCGAATTGTGAAAACGACAAAAATGTGGCGGGTGCATCTGGCCATGTTCTCGCGGGAAGTTCATTCTCATTTTGCACGTTTCGAGAGTGGTGTGGCGATGCCCTTGGTCCAAAAAACAGACTTCACGAAGTGGCACCTTGTGTAGCTATATGATAATCGTTCTAGAAAAATTACAAGCAATTATAATGTTTTCTTTCCGCGTTCTCAATTCCAAATAAACATACTACTTTCTTCCCCCGAATACAACGAACGGTCATTATAGCTGTGTATTTGAGGGATCTTTCAGTCTAGATACAGGTATAATGACCGTACGTTGTCTTCGGGGGAGTACACACAGCGGCGCCTGCCCACATCTGAGGTCGGGATTGGGAGTCCGACACAATACATAATTCGATTCGATTCCATTCGATCGCCGACGGATCGCCGACGGGTCGACATGAAAACCCGCACGGTGCGTGATCGCGAGAGCTAATGCTTCATTTGATTTGATTAATACAATAATCCGATTTACTTCAAATTTGATTTTATTACAATTTGACTTACTGTTACATTTTTTTTCCTTTTCATCAATTTTACTAAACTTTTCACTTCTGCTTAGAATTCGGTTTTGTTTGGTTTTTTTCTTCTTTTTTTTTTTTTTCAATTTGTTTATCTTCTCAATTGGATTTGGTTCAATTTTGATTTACTTCAATCTCGAAACATCGCGATTTACTTCACAATTTGATTTTTAGTTCAATTTCACTTTAACGTCAAATTTATTTATACGATAATTGATTTATACTTTAATTTGATTTGTACAACATTCTCTCTAAGACTTTTTCTTTTTTTGTAATAACAGATATTACATACGATAATCTAGGCTACCAGCCGGGCCGCCTGGGTCCCGGGTGGCCAGGCCGTGCAAGGATAAGTAAGGTCCCAGCAAAAAAAACAAAAACAAAAACAAAATCCAAAAATTCTGAAAAAAAAACTATGTTATGCAGAAAAATAAAGTGAACAAGTTTTGCCTCAGGGTCACATCGAAATTCTTCACCACATTTCAAATAAAAAATAAAATTCAATTTATTTTTTTTTATTTTTTTTTTAATTCATTCTGGCCCGGCCGGGCAAGTGACCCCGGGCCACTCTGGTAGCCTAGACGATAATTGATTTATACTTTAATTTGATTTGTACTTTAATTTGATTTGTACAACATTCTCTCTAATATTTTTTTCCTACCCTCCCATACACAATCCAGTCACAAGAAGATTCTTGTTAGTTAGCAAATACTGTAAGTAATCATCTTTCGGCCCGGCTTTCAAATTCCCAGTGGTGATCCACGCGGTTCGGCAGTATCGTCCTCATAGATACTATGGGAACCAGCAAAGGGAGAAAAAAAAAAGAAAAAAAAAGCAACAGCACCGACGTGTCTACGACTTGAATCAAGCTGACAACGCGCGCGTGACAGCATCAATTACACTCTGAAGGGAAGACTACAGAGACTGAACGTCCGATCTATCAAATAGCAGCTATACTGCTCCAACTCGAATCGCTCGCACAACAAGCCCTCACCAGCTGAAATCGTGTCTTGATTCACGCATTGAAAATGAAAAAAAAAAAAAAAAAAACTGTAAGAATTCACTGGGCAAGCACTTGCTTCGTCCTTCTCCTGCTCCCTTCCTCCCTCTCTGTTTTTCCTTTCACACGAGCCATAAAAAAGCGAGTGCGTCTACACGAGCCATGATTTGGAATTATGAATCCACATTTACAACACTTTTAACGTGAAACGTCGGTTTCACGTTAAAAGTGTTGTAAATGTGGATTCATAATTCCAAATCGTGGCTCGTGTAGACGCACTCCGAAGATCAGTAGCTGCCCAGCAGTGTTTCGACTTCCAAGTTCTATTGCTCATGGTGTCCGCGAGCACTACCGTCTTCAACCGAATAGAACGCCCGGTCATTATAGCTGTATTTGGGGCAAATTTCAGTCCACATGCAGTGATAATGACCGGGCGATCTACTCGAGTAAAGACGGTAGTGTGTTTGCAAAGACACGCACGTGTGCATGCGACTGTAAAGAGAGAGTACGGGCGCGTTCGTAGGCAAATGCCTCTACTTGAGTGTAGTCGGGCCCGGCTCGCAGAGTAGAGGGTCCAATTCCTGTGGGTAGAGAGTACGGGCGCCTTTTGAGAGAGGTTGTAAAAGTTTTCTCGAGGGACGACGAGAGCGGAAGAGAGTAGAGGTGGAGAGAGCAGAGGAAGGGGAAAACATACGCGGTCCAATTCCGTAGACACATGAGCTCATTGCAGAGTTTGTAATCTTTACTGGTTTCTTACCTGGGCTAGCAAGAGTCGCTGGCTTATGTACCACCTCCATAAGATCCAGAATTTGGCGTATCATCCCGCTGCGAAGCTCTCCGTGGTTTGCGGAATGCCATGGTCTCTGTACAACCTCGTAATGCCTCGATCCTTGTTTCGGCATCGTCCCTTCTGTCTCTCTCTCTCTCTCTCTCTCTCTCTCTCTCTCTCTCTCTCTCTCTCTCACGCACGCACACCCACTCACCCACCCACCCACAGACGCACACACACAATGACACACGCACGCAGACAACACTCACAAAAAGACAAAGACAACACATACGCAGAGAAATCGATGATACTATGAAAAGAAACCGGGTCGTTCCACTCAACTTAGTCAACTATGCATTCCAGTGATCGCCATGCTTCCTGTTACTTGAAAGGTCCATGGATCAGCGACTGCCGTCTCTTGGTCGCTCAGTCCTTCACTAACTGCGAGCTCGCATCTTTGGGACTTAGCTGCACAATAGCCGGTTAATTAGCGGCTTCCGAAACAGCTTTACGGCATTCTAGTGCTCTGCACTGTCCTCGGACCAATGACCGCCTGATGATGGCCCTGATCTACCACCTGGCGGACTCTCTCTCTCTCTCTCTCTCTCTCTCTCTCTCTCTCTCTCTCTCTCTCTCTCTCTCTCTTCCTCTCTCTAGCTGCTCAGTCGCGTCGTCGGCGCTCACCTACTGAGAAGCCAATCGGGTACCAGATCTACGTACAGATTACGGCAACTTGTGCCCTACACGGCCCGACGAGCACAGGCGCTGATCGCCACGAGACCACCCTGTTGGCGCCTTCTGCCCAATGGAACCGCTCTCTCTCTCTCTCTCTAACTGCCGACGCTCATCGTCGTCACTCAATTACCAAACCGCCAACCACTTAACGTCTTTACATATAGATTACGGCGTCTTTTTCCCTACAAGACCCAAAGAGCACATGTGCTATTCGCCACGTGAGCATCCTGCTGGCGTCTCTCTCTCTCTCTCTCTCTCTCTCTCTCTCTCTCTCTCTCTCTCTCTCTCTCTCTCTCTCTCTCTCTCTCTCTCCACCTGGAGTTCTCAGCACACACCCCCTCCCTTATCGTCTTTCGAGTAGCCACTCCGGCTTTGCTCGCTGCCTCGCTCGCGCCCTCCTTCGCTGACTCTTGTATGGGACGAAGGCCTCTTCCGATAGGACTTCCCTTCCCTTTGGAATCATTCACTAACCAGGCGGAGGATAACATCCACCATCACTACGTTACCCACAAAAAAGCGCTCGGACGGAACCCGGTTATGTGTGCACGGACACCAACGGCCACACAGGCCAGTTTCAACCTCCTCCAAAATTCCACACAAGTACACGTGTAGCCCGGCCCGCATGGATCCTCCTGTTCTTTAACCCTCTCCCCCCGCCGCCCCCCCCCGGCCCCCCCCCGGCCCCCCC